TTAGTCTGATAATTGTCATTACGAGATCTAGTCAGATTAAAGTAGGTTATTCCATATTCCCTGGAGCCAAAGAGCAGTTAGCAAAGTAACTTAGCAAATAAATCTATGTAATTATGTGTACTCATACATTATGGCTTTGTTTATAGGAATAATCAGGTCTCCTTCAGAGCTTATCTTGGGAAGATGTATGTTTTGAATCACTCCAAAAACTATTAATAGACTATTTGAAAAAAGTGTTTTCTTATTTCCTAATTGGACCAGCATCTTCTAAACAAAGTAGATTTTTTTTCTCTCTCTCATCAATATTCACAGTTTTTTCCACCTTATCATTAAGTACTTACATTTATTTCCCTCTAGTCTCCTCTCATTCATTTCCCATACACTATTATCTTGAAAGAGAATTTTTTTAAATACCTTTATTTTATTTATTTATTTTTATATGGTGCTGAGGATCAACCCAGGGCCTCACACATGCTAGGAGAGCGCTCTACTGCTAAGCCACAACCCCAGCCCCTTGAAAGAGGAATTTATCTTTGCTTTTTCCTCTCATTCCACAGAACTTTAATAATACCTGATTTCTTCCTGCATCTACTGGTATTTTCTGACAGTAAACTGACAATTTGTCTACCTCACTACTAGAGCCACAATGGATTCATAGCCTTGAGATAAAATTTCCTGAATCACCCAAACAATAAAAAGTGTTGATCATAGGTACCCAGAGGTCTATTCTCACATCTTCACTTCTATCCTGTCCCATTGCTTGAAATAAGCCTTGTAAATCCTTCCTTAAAACTATATTTTTTTCCTTTATCTAATTTTCCCCCAAAGTCATTTCCTGCACATTAAATAACTCTGACCTTGAAATTTCATCCCCTACTTCTTCCTCTAGTAACAGATTAAGATCTAAATTCTTTTTCAAATATCTTTCCTAATATATTCTCATCTGTTTTCAATGACACTCACATCTTTTCTTTCCTATAAATAATTTTTTATACCTTAAGTACTTTCTGCTATATGGATTATAGTTGGTCTCTCCTAGCTGGTATATGAACTTGCTCATTCTTTAACACACACTCCAAAAATCTGATATGTGCTATATGTCTAAACATTCAAAAGCCATTATGAAGACATGCAATGAAAAGAATACTAGGTCTAGTCCTATAAGATGTGGGTCCAAGCATTACCTCTTACTTATTATGCTAAACAAGTTACAACATTTTTGGATCTCATTTTCCTCTTCAAGAAAATAAAAATATTCATTTATTTACTGGCTTAACAGATGAGGGGAACATTAGCTAAAGAATAATCATCAATCAATACAAACTTAAGGGCATTATTTAAATTCTTTTGACAAACTTATCTTGTCTAATTAAGCCCCTAGTGTTTTTTTAAAACTAAACTCCATACACAGCAATAAAGTGAATCAACATTGCAATTACTTTTTCATATCACTAATGTTAACTACTAGACCCTAAGACTAAAACAGAAAGCTTTATTTCTTATTTTAATAGTAAGAATATTAGTTACATAGTATCTTCATTCATTTTCTTTTCATTCGTTCTTTCTTTTTTAATATTTTATTTTTTATTTTGAGACAGGATCTAAGTATCTGAGGTTGGCTTTGAACTTGGGATCCTCCTGCTTCAGCCTCCCAAATCGCTGGAATTACTGGTGTGGTTCACCACACTAGCCTCTTCATGCATTTTCAAGGTTAAAAGGTAAATACTAGCTGCTAAGCCAACAATAACTGCTTTCAAATCTATTAAAAAGTGTTTTTAAAACTGACTTGTTTTTACACCCAGGAAGCTAAATTTAAAATTTTAAGAAATCCAAAAAGTGGTTTAAAATTGTATAAATCTCATTTTTAATTGCCTAAAATGTCCAGGTGCACAGTCTTGTTGAGTCTATTATTTTAGAAATACCAAACTGCAAGATGGGCATAGTGGCACACACCTGTAATCCCAGAGATTCAGGAGGTTGAGGCGGAGGATCACAAGTTTGAGGCCAGCCTGGGAAACTTAGTAAGCACATGTCTTAGAATAAAAAATAAAAAGGCTGGGAATGTAGTACAGTGGTAAAAGTAGTGCTACTGGATTCAATCCTCAGGGCAGGGGGTGGGGAATAAGAGTGGGGGGGACATAGCGGTGAGGGTTGGAGGGTATCATTAAACAGACTACAGAGAAAAGCAAAGATACAAAATACACATAAGTGCACAAGACTACTGACTTGTAGTATAAAGTATAATCATCAATCAATACAAACTTAAAGGTATTATTTAGTTTAAATTTTTTACAAACTTATCTTGTCTATTTAAGCATGGGAATTGCTTTCAGTCTCAACCACAGTCTTACTAACAAACTAAAAGACACCTAAAGAATATTTCCCAGTATAAAAATTATTATCATCAAAAGAACATTATAGCCAGGCACAGAAGCACATGTTTGCTATAATGCCATATAGCTATTCAGGAGGCTAATGCAGGAGAATTGCAAATTCAAGGCCAGACTGAGCAACTTAGTGAGACCTTGTCACTAAATAAATCAATTAATAGGAATGGGTATGTGCATGTGCCAGGCCATGGGTTCAATACCCAGTATCACCACCACACACACACACACAAAAAGGCAACACAGTTACAAAACATTTTTTAAAAATGCTTTGTGGAGACAATGTAGAGAAAAGGAACACTTTTACCTTGTTGGTGGGACTATTAATTTGTACAGCCACTATGGAAATCTGTACGAAGGCTCCTCAAAAGATTAGGCACAGAACTACCTTATAATGTAGTTATACCACTCCTCAGTATTGATCTTAAACAATTTAAGTCATCATACTATAAGTGATACATGTATAGCTATGTTTATAGCAGCACAATTCCCAATAGCCAAACTATAGAACCAATCTAGGAGTCCATCAATGGATGAATGGATAAAGAAAATGTGGTATATATACACAATGGAGTTTTATGCAGTGATAAAAATGAAATCATGTCATTTGCTTGAAAATGAATGGAATTTAAGAACACTATGTTAAGTGAAATAAAAATGATAAGGTAGAAAAGAAAATCAAAAGGAAATCAGCAGAATAGGGGAAAGGAACCAGGGAGTAGAAGAAGGGGAGGGAAGGGGAAAATACTGGGGAGTGATATTGCAAAATTCTATTGTTATACTATGTGCATATACGAATATGTAACAACAAATCCCTACATTCTGTACAACTATAATGCACCACTAAAATAATGTGGAGGGAGAGGGGAAGAAGTAGAAAAAAAAATGCTTATACCACTATTGCTTTGAAAGGTTAGTCTGATGCTTGGATAAGAACTGTGAGTTCTTGGGAAATTCAACACTCACTTTAGGTTTAAGTTCACTTCATGAATGTGCTCAGTGCAAAACAATGTGTTGGATTAAGGAAAGATTCCTAGACATGGAAACTGATGCAGCAATTTAAATGAAAAAATTTAACTTATTGATGGCAGAAGAAACAAAGAATCTGTAAAGAAGTAGCATGCAAGCAACATGCATTCAAAATAGCAGAGATTTTCATACGGAAAAAGAATTTGCTTTATATTTATTAATTTAGCACAAAATTATGGGATTGGTGGAAGCTCTATGTGTTTTGTACATACATAAAATTGTTTTTAAAATCAAGTTTCAGTTAATAAATCTCTATTTTCTCAATATTATAACGTGCTTCAGAATTCACACACTGTCTTAAATATCTTCACAAGTTTGTACATCTCAGCTAAAACACTTCAGTCTAATTTGAAACGGTGAATAACAGCACCAAGTCCAATTATGACAGGACTGCTAAAGGCCTCCAAGGAGGCAAAGGTACAAAGTCTCCCCTGGAATCAGTGTTCCTGGACCTCTGTGTAGTCTTCTCTCATTATACTATGTCTTCATCATTCCTCTAAGAACAGTTTTGCTTTTTCCCCCTCCTTCTTGTGGTCTTTGATATCAATCCAATATACTAAATGATTTTTCCAACAGGACCTGAAACCCACCTGGAAAGGTGTTAGGATACTTCTTTAATAAGTAATCGTGTTCAAAGAGTAATGTCACATTCGTTTCCCTCAATTCAAACGCTGTTTAAAATAAAAATATAATTAAAATTCCAATTTCCATCAGGCTAAAAACCGAATTACCCCAGGCTCTCTTTTC